CCCCTCCTCCTGGGTCGCCATCCACCTCGGCCTCCCGGCCACCTTCGCTCCCCCTCCACCTCGCTCCCGGGTCACCTCGGTCCCCTCCACCTGGGTCGCCCGTCGCCTCGTTCCCAAGCCACCCGCCTCCCCCCACACCCCGGCACCCCGCCACCTCAGTCCCCCGGCGGCCTCTCGGTCCCGTCACCCGCGCGCGCTCTTCCGGTTCACCTGCGCGCGGGGCGGCTCGGGGGGGCGGCGGCCCGGGCGCAAGGTGGCCGGTGGCGGCCGGAGCCCAGGAGCCGAGGAGGCGGGCGCCGGCCAGGCCCCGAGGGGCGCCCCCCGCCCGCCCGCGGCCCCGCCGCTCGCCTGGGTCTTGTCGAACTGCTCGCGCTCGGCCTCCAGGCTATGGCCGGGCCTGCGGCTCAGCACCCGCGCCGGCACGCTCTTGATGCTGTTCATCTTGCCGCAGCCGCTCGCGCTCCCGGCTCGGCTCCGCGCGACTGAGCGTCACCGCTGCCCGCCCCAGCCTAGGCACCGCGAGGCCGCCGCACAGCGCCCGGCCGCCCCGCCCCTGCGCGCGGGGGCGGGGGGGAACCTCCCCCTCGGCCGCCCCGCCCCCGCCCCGGGCCCGCCCCTCGCTGGGCGGAGCCCCGGCCGAGGTTCCCAGCCCCTCCACACCTCTGCCTACCTCCCTGGGCCAAGTCTCTTGCCCACCTCCACACCCCGGACGCACGAAGTCCTTTCTACACCAGAGGAGGATCTGGCTAACTGGAGAAAACTTGGCCTCAATGAATTTGAACAATAGAATCACAACTAGACTTTTTTTTTTTTCCTTTTTAGTCTTAGTTTATGTGTGAAAATGAATACAAGTAAGCCGTCCCCTTTGCGCATCTCTAACCTAACAGCAGCTCTCTTCCACGCGGGGCGGTGGGATGAATCTTCGGAGGCTGCAGGCTCCGCATGCGGACACCTTGCCAGAGCCGAGGCACTGCGAGGGGAAAGAGGACAGGCAGGGCCCGGACAACCTGCACACACAGCTGAACACAACACAGGGCTGGGCCATCAAAGCGTATCGTTAACGACGCCGCAGGAGGTCGTGGGAGTCTTTAAAAAACATTGTTATTATTGGTTTCCTTTTTAAATTATCCGTCACAAGACTGAAGTAAAAGAAAAGAATACATAATGTTTTATATATTTTTTATATTTATAAATATAAATATATTTTTATATATTTTATATATTATATATTTATATACATATATATATAATCACAGTTCTCCCAAATGTATGCTATCAAATAATTTTTTTTGCTGTCCTCAGTTTTTCTCTCAAAATATAGGTGTGAAATTGCCCAATACATGTACTAAAGACCCCCCTTGAAGAGGAAGTGTGATGCCTGAAGATGGTCTCCCCTTCTGTAACTTCATGGATTAATCTCGTCTTGCCCCCAGATGGACACTGGATACTTGAAAAGCTGTATCTGACCAGGTTCTTTTGACTCTACCAAAAAGAAATTAACCATGCTATACCTAATTCCAATCCCCGAAAGATCTCTCTACCAGAATAACAATGGCTAATGTTTATCGATTGCTTATTATTTGCCAGACACTGAGCTAAGTCCTTCATATATATTGTTTCATTTTTAATCCCCAGCCCCCCGGGTCAAGAGCTGTGGCTTGGTGGCTCCAGACCAGCTGTTTCTCAGACTCTTTTTCCATATTGAACAAAACCAAGTTATCCCATGAACTTCATACTTAACACAGCACCTTCATTCAAACCAGGCAACGACCTCTCTGGGTTGAGAACATCTGCCCCGGTGACTTAACATTAGCAACCAACTACCTCTCTTTTTAATAATAGTTGATTATTGGGGTCCGAGAGCACTTGGCTAAAATATCCCTAGTGACTTAGAACGCATCTGCTTGTATGGAAGCTTTTGAGCCCCTGGAGGCAAGGACCACACCATCTTACTCCGTTTTATGATCTCCGTGCCTAGCAGAGTGCCTGGCACATTAGCAATGTTCAATAAATGTGTGAAATGCAAGGTTGAAAAAGTGAGTAAATAACCTGCTGTAATTTAGTACACTTCAACACATGGCTTAGTTTTATAAAACGAGCAGCCGGGACACGAGGACGTAAGCTTCCCCACTCTGAATTTGTCCAGGTTCACTGCTGGTACCACCTCCAGGCAGGAGATCCAGTTCTAGCACTGACTCTGTCACTGGTGGGCTGAGATTCTCCATGTCATCAGAATCAGGGTGCCATTTTGGTCTATCTCCGGGGCTGTTTCATGCTTCCCAAAGGCTATTACAAAGGCAGAGGATTTGGGTTATGAACACCTCATTTAAAGGAAAACCCAAGAAAGATGAACAGTATTTACGTCATTGGGTTAACTAGATGATGGAGCTGCCATGCCCACACTGCCTCGCTGACGTGTATCACTGGCCTCAACCTCTCTGTCCAGCTTCATCTTGCGCCATCCTCATCCATCAGGTCTGAAAATGTATCATGCTCCTTTCCACCTCAGGGCCTTTGCGTATGCTGTTACCATTCTGAGGAATGCTCTTCCTCTTCCTGTTTGCTGGTTAGCATCTACTTATCTTTCAGCTTTTAGTTCAGGGAAGCCTTCCCTGAAGCCTCCGCCTTTGACCTATGCCCCTGATGTATGTTGTCACAGTAGCTCCGAGCTTTATTTCATAGCACTTAACCAGTTTTTCATGACCTATTTGTGATTATTTAATTAAGGTCTGTCTCCTTCACTGTAAACAAGGATTCAGTCTGCTTTGCTCACTGTTGTGTCTCCAGTGGCCAGCAAAGCAGTACTTACTGTGGGCTCAAATTATTTTTTTTGTTAGATGTCCTAAGTGTGCACTTGGCTGAGAACCCAGAAATCATCCTTTATGGGACTGACTGAAGTGCCCTCCTCATCTGATAAACTCCTCTCAAAGACCACTCTGGTTCTTAACCTACCTTGTCTGCTGTGGTCCTGATTAATGCGTCTGGTTTCATCTGAACAAACCTTACCCCACAAAGCTTCCGAATACCAGGCTTTTCTACTACAACTTTTAAGGTAAAACTGTTGTCAGTGTTTACATATGGATTCAGAATTTCTTTCTTTAGGGGTATTTCTGTTTCTCTTTAGAAGATCTGTCTACCAATTCTGAAAGCACCCTTACACCAGTCTCTTCCCATGGCTGAGATAATTTCTGGTGGGGGAGTTACAGTACCATTCTTTTTTTTTTTTAAAGATTTTATTTATTTATTTGACAGAGATCACAAGTAGGCAGAGAGGCAGGCAGAGAGAGAGGGAGGAAGCAGGCTCCCTGTTGAGCAGAGAGCCCGATGTGGGGCTCGATCCCAGGACCCTGGGATCGTGACCTGAGCCGAAGGCAGAGGCTTCAACCCACTGAGCCACCCAGGCGCCCCAACAGTACCATTCTTAAGACAGAAGAATGCCGATGACAAAATATAGCAGCTCAGTTTTATCTCGCAACTCTTTCAGACAGACTGAGGGCTGACTCTTCCTAACAGAAACTGCTCACATATTTAAGTAACTTTCGGATGAGACAGATAAGCTGCTAATAATATTAAGATTCCCCAGTTTTTAGTTACATGTGCTATAATTCAAAATAACATGGTGGGGTGAGATGGGTACTTAGATACAATAATCCTATGAGCTCAAATACATTTACCCACAAAATAATTTTTGACCTTTTCATTCTTTGGTTTCCTGAAATTTTCCTACTTATTAGCATCTCATCAGTGTTCTACTTCTCTTTTCCCTGGGCAAGCTGGCATGCAGCCACGAACCCAGCATAAAGAGAAGGAGAAATTTTCATATTTTGTATCTCAGACTGGAAATGAGCCTCTCCGGGGACATTTTAGGTTTCCAACAGCTCAGAATCAACTGCACCTTTCTCAGACTTCCTCTGCCCAAACCGGCCGTGCCTGAGGGAGAAAGCAAGCATTTATGAAGAACACAGCCACACCTCACCCAATTTCCCTTTTCAGCACCCTAATTAAAAAGGCTAAATGGGGTGGCTCCTCCACTCTCTTGAAAATCATCTCTGAAGTACCACTGAAACCTTTCAACAAAGGGGCATTTATACAGCACAACAGAACCTTGATATCTGCAATGCTTAGGAAAAAAAAATACATTCCCCTTCCCGAGGAAATTAACTCGCCAGGTTTGGTTTCAGCGACTAACCTTCCTTATTTTGCTCCTGTATAATAAAAAGAAATCCGAGAAAATTCTTCTTTATATTAAAAATATTTTTTATTGAATGAAGCTGATCAATTCTCTTACAAGGGACAGAAATGCACACAGTATATTCTTTAAAAAATTAAATTATAAGTTAAAAGGGAAGTGTTTTAGTCTCTAATGATAAAAAGAAATGCATATAAAACCTGATCTTCCAACAAGCTTTTGTTTGTGTAAGTAGATGGGATCTACTACAGACCCAGATGAGATGGGGCTCTGTTCAGCTTTGGGACAGAAGGACCTCAATTGTCAGTAACTGAGGAGACACATTCCAGTTAAAAATATTTTGTATCATATATCATTTTATGTCTATTCTACACAGCAAAATCCAGGGGTAAAGCCACCAGTGAAGAGAATACTACTTCTCATAGATTTGCAGCTGACTCTGATGAGCTGTCGGTTATAATTTAAATGTATGCACAGGTTTTTTTTAAAAGCAGATAGTTAAAACAGCATTTTACATGGAGGGGTTCTCTATTTGATGTCCACACTTTTAAAGAGCTTCTCTGGTATTTAACGCAGTCTGCATCTTTACAGAGAAGTCCTTTTCTCTCTGAGCAGAATTCCAAGTTTGTATATAGAGAATACACAGTAAGGTCTAATTTCTTACACATTAAAAAAAAAAAAATGTCCTCAACATGAAAACAGTCAACTTGAAAACAAACAAAATATAGATGTTAAAAAATTAGCTTTCAGTTTCTGCTTCCCTTTGGTATTAAATGTTGCTTACAAAGGACTACAATCCCCTTTTTGTTTTCAAGGTTAAGTATTAGGTATTGATGTCTGCTTCCTGCCTTCCAAAGATGAAAAATCGGCTTCTGCAGGAAGGAAACACAGAGTTAATAAAATCAAGTCAAACAGAGCATTGGGTAGTGTGCTCCAAGTTCCGAATCTCTATGAAATGAACTATACATCCAGATTTTTATCTACATAAGGTCACGTAAAATACCATAAATATGAAAACTTCTCAGCAAAGAGAGGAAAAGCCCAGGAGAGGAAGAAGGCTATCTACACTTCATGCTTTCACAGTGTTCTTGAGATGTTCTCTGCTTACAATGAAAGCATCTGAAATGATTACATTTTTTAACTTACCAAACTGGATTTTGAAGAAATTTTACATTTGAAATGCAGGTTTGATAGAAGGAAACACATATCAAGAAAGTGCTTACTACATCAATGAACCTTTCTTTCTTTTTTAAGTTTTTATTTTTAAGTAATGCCTACACCCAACGCGGGGCTCAAACTCACAACCCGGTGACCAAGTGTCCCATGCTCCATGGACTGAGCTAGCCAGGCACCCCAGTCAATGAACCTTTTTATAAAACCTGAAACCCCATGAAAACACTTCTTTCCAGACAGCCAACTGAAATGCTTAAATGTTCATTTTAAGAGAGAAGCAGGACGGAGCGGCACAGAGAGGGAAAGAGAGAGGTAGGTTCCACACCCAGCGTGGATCTCACCACCCTGAGATCATGACCTGAGCCGAAATCAAGAGTTGGATGCTTAACCAACTGAGCCACCCAAGCACCCCTGAAATGTTAATTTAGATTCTGATTTTGAAAGCTGTCTATAGCTGTGCCTGGGTGGCTCAGTTGGTTAAGCATCTGTCTTTGGCTCAGGTGGTGATCCCAGGGTCCTGGGATGGAGCCGTCAGGCTCCCTGCTCAGTGGGGAGCCTATTTCTCCCTCTCCCTCCGCTGCTCTCCCTGCTTGTGCTCTCTCTGGCCTGCTCTCTGTCAAAGAAATAAATAAAATATTCAAAAAAATAAAAAAAGAAAGCTGCCTGTATTTACTTCCTTGTGTTTAAAATTCTGGGCACTGAGATCAAGAACTTTTTGATTTGCATTTCTCATACAAATAACTGACATTTTACTGATTAAATTTAGAAGGTATGTATAAATAGGTCAAACAAGAGAAAGGATTACAGATCAAACAAATGCATGGCCTTGACTCTACATTATCAATGTTCCCAAGTTACTTGTTAAATATTAAGGGAGATAGAAGGGGAGATACACACAAAGGTGACTTACCTATGACCACAATGAACAGTGAAGTTGACTTTTGTGTTCTTCAATTACTAAGAAAGGTATTTTTCTGAGCTGACTCTTCTGCGACTTCTAAGTTCTATAATACAACTTCAAAATTAGTACCCAGGAGAGAAAAACTGGACAGTTCTTAAGACAATACACAAATATAGCAGAAATGCCTTTAGAACACCTTAAGGAATTAATGAAATACAAAGAAGTCATTTTATACAGCTACCATCTATCCAGCAAAGAGGTACTGATTTCCTATTCGTGTGTGGGGCCCTTTTGGGTCTAACTGCCTAGTGGTGAGGTTGTGTTTGCTTTTCCATGTATGCTAAGCCTTCAGCTACGGCAATCAGCTAATGCCCAAATATAACTGACTCTTTGTCAGCCTTAAATGGACTATGTCATGAGCCCTTGAAAGCAAAGACAGTGGTCACCAACAGGAATGAACAACTCTAAGTACCCCTGTTAATTAAAGTACCTACTAAAGGCTTGGTTAGCATTGCTAGTTGTTTCAGGAGAGATATTTTTAAAAAGCAGCAGCAAAAAAAGGAAAGAGGAGGAAGATACCTGGAAAGACATGGGTAGACGCGGGTGGTAAACTTTAGCACCGGGTAAGCCCCCCTTCTCAGCCCCTTTCTCCTCCCCGTGGGGCCTGCATTTGAGCTAGGCTAGGGTTATTCTCTGGGCTTTCGCTCATGCCGCTTCCTCCCTGCTCAAACAGGCCTTCTTATGTATTTTATAACCTGATGTATTTTATTCATTTAGAGACATTATTCTAATGGGAGAAGATATTTGCAAATGACCTAGTGGATAAAGGGCTAGCATCCAGAATCTTTAATGAACTCAACAAAATCGATATCCCCAAAATAAGTCATCCAGCTAAGAAATGGGCAGAACACATGAACAGATATTTCTCCAAAGAAGACATCCAAATGGCCAACAGACACGTGGAAAAATGCTCAGCATCACTCATCATCAGGAAAATACAAATCACAACCATGGTATCACCTCACCCCTGTCAGAGTGGCTAAAATTAACCACTCAGGAAACAACAGGTGTTGGTGAGGATGTAGAGAAAGGGGAGCCTTTTGCACTGTTGACTGGAATGCAAACTGGTGCAGCCACTCCCGAGAACAGTATGGCAATTCCTCTAAAGTTAAAAATGGAGCTCCCCTACAACCCAGCAATTGCATTAGTAGGTATTTAGCCAAAGGACAGAAAAATGCTGACTCCAAGGGTTCCATGCAACTGATGTTTATGGCAGCACTATCAATGACAGCCCAATAATGGAAAGAGCCCAAATGTCCCTTGACTGATAACGGATAAAGATGTGGTGTAGGGACGCCTGGGTGGCTCAGCTGGTTGGACGACTGCCTTCGGCTCAGGTCATGATCCTGGAGTCCCGGGATCGAGTCCCGCATCGGGCTCCCGGCTACACGGGGAGTCTGCTTCTCTCTCTGACCTTCTCCTCGCTCATGCTCTCTCTCTCTGTCTCTCTCTCAAATAAATAAATAAAATCTTAAAAAAAAAAAAAAAAGAAGATGTGGTGTATATAGACAACGGAATGTGACTCAGCCATCAGAAAGAATGAAATCTTGCCATTTGCAACAACATAGATGGAACTAGAGTATATTATGCTGAGCGAACTAAGAGAAAGACAAATACCATAAGGTTTCACTCAAATCTGGAATTTAAGAAACAAAATAGATGAACATAGGGGAAGGGGAGGAAAATTAAAATAAGATAAAAACAGAGAGGGAGACAACCATAAGAGACTCTTAACTAGAGAGAACTGAGGGTTGCCAGAGGGGAGGTGAGGGGGGTGGGCTGAATGGGTGATGGGTGTGGAGGAGGACACGCTGGGATGCGTACTGGGTGTTACGTGTAAGTGAAGAATCACTAAATTCTAGTCCTGAAACCAATACTACACTACATGTTAACTAACTTGGATTAAAAAAAAAAATACATATCAAAACAAATAAACATCATTCTAAAGGGGATCTATAGGGTTTATCAGCCTGTGATTAAAAAAAAAAAAAAAAAAAGGTTAAGAGCCCTAAGAGCCCTGGCAGACAACACCAACAGTTTCAAACCAGCCATGAAGGGTGTCCAGTCCCAAGTACTTGTCAAAAGTCCAAATTCAGATTCCAGTGGAATCTCTCCCCCTCCCCACCTCTCAGGTAAGTAGAAAGCCTGCTGTAGGGGAAGGTGATGTGGTCAGCTGTGCAGTGTTTTATTCTTTCCTTTTTTCCTCTTTTTAAATTATCGGGGGCTCTTGTTAAATAGCTAATACGCTGACATAAAATAAACAAACATATATTCTTCTCCCCATCCCCTTTGTACATGTGAAGAATACCACAGAGACCCTTCAATATCTCGCTTCTATTCGCTTATGAAGAAATCCCAGGAGTATTTCCACGTCCCAGGTCTTCCTCATTCTGGTTAACGGCTCTGTAATGTTCCACTGTGGACGTACCATCATGACTCCCTCAGCTCCTTTTTGCTGGACACCTGATTGCTTCCGAACTTTCGCTACTACAAAGCAATCCTGCAACGAAGAACTTGTACCCGGGCCACTTTATACACATGTGGGTATACTTGTAGGAGAGAGTCCCAGAGTGATATTGCTGTGTCAAAGGATCAATTTTTAGGAAACAGTGCTAAGTTCCCCACTAGAAGGTCTGTATCACTTTTTGTACCTCCAGCGATGTCTAAGAATACGCTGCAGAAAAAGGTTTTGAAATAAGACCCTTGTTTTCAGCACCAGATGGCAAAAAAGGGTGAGGCAGACAGGCCTCTCAGAATCTTATCCTGCTTCCCTATCGCAAAAATTAAGGATCTTTAACAAATTATTTGCTTTTTCCTGTAACTAGCTACACCCAACTCACAGGACCAGAGGGAGGGAGCTGTAAAATATGTCGCCAAGTAGATTTCTTTGTTTTTTGAAAGATTTTATTTATTTGAGACAGAGAATGTATGAGCAGGGGGAGGGGCAGAAGGAGGAGGAGAAGTAAACTCCTAGCCAGGCAGGGAGCCTGACGCAGGGTTCTATCCCAGGACCCTGGGATCATGACCTCAGGCAAAGGCAGAGAGACACTTAACCAACTGAGCCGCCCAGACACTTTTAAATTTCTGTTAATTGAATTGTTTTTGCAACATTTCCAGAATTAGTTAATAATCTTCTGGAAGGGGTGCCTGGGTGGCTCAGTGGGTTAAAGCCTCTGCCTTCAGCTCAGGTCATGATCCCAGGGTCCTGGGATCAAGCCCCGCATCGGGCTCTCTGCTCGGCAGGGAGCCTGCTTCCCCCTCTCTCTGCCTGCCTCTCTGCCTACTTGTGATCTCTGTCTGTCAAATAAATAAATAAAATCTTTAAAAATAATAATAATCTTCTGGAAAATGTGTTACATCTGCAGCCAATATTTTTTCCAACTAATTCCAGATGATTATCTGATTCCGGTTGTAGGGATGTTAAGTAAGAGATTTCATCACTCTTCCTCACCCCTAAGGTGAAAGGTTGAGATTGTGTACCTCTTCTGGATCTTTCTACCTCAAAAATTCTCTTAAACCAAGTTTTCATCAACATCAACAGCTTGAGCATGTTTTCAGTCTAGAGCTGAGGTTACTGTTTTGTCTTTTTCCTGTTCTTCCTGTTCACGTCCATCGCAGGTGTTTCCTGGGCAATCTCTGGACCAGGTACAGTGTGTGCTACAACTAGGGGGGCCAGGGTGGGGAAGAGGGGCTCCTGAAGGGGCTCACAGAGGAGAGGGCGACAGGTATGTAACCTACCACGCACTGTGACCCGCACGCTCACAGAGACACACACACAGAAACACACAGCCGTGCGGTGAAGACCCAAGTGAAGGAGATCTCAGATTTTATCTCAGATAGGAATTTAACATAAAATCCCACAGAAGAAGGTAAGAGCCTGAGGCCATGAGAATGAACAGGAGTCTGTCCAGTAGATCATGCTGAAGGACGGTCAGTTCTGCTGGAACACGTGTTTTGAAAATATCAAGTTGTTCTGACACAGCCAATGTATTACGGAACTATTTGGGCATAATGTGAAGTTTACCTTTATTTATGTGCAACTTCGTCCATGAGAAACACTAGGTAACCCATACCCAGCTGGACCGAGCCACGGCACGCAGGAATACATACATCCACTCGCACCCCTCAAACATCCGCTGGCCCCCTCGGCTTCCCCGGTATGCTATAAGCCGCCCCCATTCACATCGGCGTCCGGTTACCTTCCCGCCACTTCCCAGTGAATCACAAGTTGCCACTTCCCGGACACCTAAAGTGCCATATTTACTGCAATATTTATGTATTTCTTAACCACCTAGCAGGTATAAAAACTCCTACCATTTTGATTATTCCTATCCTTTAAAAAAAAAAAAAATGTATCACTGGCAAAGTGTTTGAGTGTTATGCTCCTAATCCCATTTTTCCTGTAAGCCTGTGAGGTTTTTATTACAAAATTTTGCATCGTGTGGTCATATTTAGGAATCCGTAAGTTGTACTACAGAGGTAATGTGGTTATCAAAATATGAAACAAGGCTGTGATATAATAATATGCACTTTTTAAAAAGTTTAAGTAATCTCTATACCCCATGAGGGGCTCGAACTCACAACCCCAAGATCAGGAGTCACACACTCCACAGACTAAGCCAACCAAGTGCCCTTTGCACTCTCCCCCTACCTTTTTTTAAAAAAATATTTTATTTGTTTATTTGAAAGAGAGAGAGAGAGAGATAGTGAGAGAGAACACGAGCAGGGAGGAGAAGGAGAAGCAGGCTCCCCGCTGAGCAGGGACCCAGACGCCGAACTTGATCTCGAGACCCTGGGATCATGACCCCAGCCAAAGGCAGACAGATGCTTAACTGACTGAGCCACCCAGGCACCCCATACTTTTTTCTTCTTTTTTTAAAAGAGATTTTATTTCTTTGCAAGACAGAGACAGAGAGAGTGAGCATGAGCTGGGGGAGCGGCAGAAGGAGAAGCAGGCTCCCGCCAAGCAGGGAGCCTGACACGGGGCTCGATCCCAGGATCCTGAGATCATGACTTGAGCTGAAGGCAGATGCTTAACCAACT